GGCTTGTAGTCAGAATTATGAGGATCGGGTTTTCATCGAAGTTATAATGATGTGAAGCACTGGAGTCCAGCACAAGGCTTCTCTGTAGGGCTCAGAACCTCATTGGATTGTCATAGATCGCAGAGGTTCGTAGTTTACATACCAAAACGTACGTGGGTCTATTCATGTGGCGCGCAGCTACAATCATGCAGTTACAAGTGTACGTATTGAAGTCGCAACAGCTGGCTACATACAATATGTACTGTATGCACACCACCGTGATGACAATCAATCATTCAAGTGTCAATTGGTAGGTGGCTTGGCTGTAGTGTCTGGAAAAATGATCACAAGCCCACGTAGGAAGTCATAAGTTTGGAGCATGCGCAAATACTACCGAGGCGTTATCCCGTTGTTGTTGCTACCGCGCTTGCACTTTGACGATAAGAGTAAAAATACGGTATTAATACCTGGTAGTAAAAGTGGATTAGCAACCATCCCTAGGCGATCCATACAAGTACAACTTTATCCTCGTTGTAGTTGTTCCTTCATGCCAACACAGTGGTCTAGTTCCGATAAAGACCCTGGGATTGTCCAGGGCTTTTGCAAGGACATGTATCTGTGCTGTCACGACACACTGTGCTATAAATACCCCACTGTGGTCGACGAATGATATCAACTGTGTCATGACACCCCCTCAACCGAGGAAGATCCCGCCCCACACTCAAACATCACACTTGCAACTGCGGCGGCGACAGTATTCCAATCTCGCAAGAGCTGTCTCCTGCCTTGCTGCGCTATACGTCCTCGTTTGCGAAACCAAAGGCTCCATGGCCAACAAACCGTATAGAGGGACTACCACCCCTCCAAGCAAGAACAGCAAGTACCGAAGCTTCAATATTGCACGGTTTCTAGCCGACGTTGTCAGGGATTCTTCGTTTGTTCGGAGTGTTTTACTCACAAGGATACAGCCCCCTTGCACAAATCGAACAACGTCCAGTGGTGGTGTACCTCGACACCAACAACACGTCGACCAACTTGCTGGATATCCCATGCATGTGCCACCCCCACCCCAATCGCCCACCACTACGACATTCCGTACCTTGGGCCCCTACTTTAACAGTCACTAGCTGGCTCTGGCTGGAACCACATCTGCTTTTTTATCGTGGTAGACTGCAGCTTTGAAGGGCGTACAGTCCTCGACACGACCGTGGTCAAAGTGCATATTCTGGACGTGGATTTGGTCACGTTTTTCACGCTGATGGTTCAAACCGCGACGATCACTCGGCCGTCAAAACACCGTCCCATGACGGGGGGAGTCGCCTTCATGGGCTTCGCCCCACTAGCTTCGACGACCTTGACCAATGGCACTGTCGAGGACCACAGCGCTGCTGCCACGTACATTGTGTCCCTCGGGTTGTCGTTTCCATGCGACTTTGGCGCGTTTAAGCCGGTGACATTGTCGTCGCCGATACCCCCCCTCGATGGCATCTGGCAGGTGAACCTCGTATCCACCAACGAAAGCGTACACTTTGCATGCACCACAGGCAAGTATCGCCGGTCCCCCGACATCCAAGGCAGCTACAACTACTACTACTGGTCGCTTCCGTCCAATGTCGTGGCGTTTGCGGCCAACTTGGACTTTAACGACGTCCATCGGTTCAAAGACAGTTGGGGCACGGCGCTTTCTAGGGCTAGGCATCGGCTTCAACGTGGCCGTGGCCTCGTTGGTGATGTGGCGTACCTGGCAGGTGGACGCGGAGCTTTGGATCCCCGACATTTACCCGTCCATCCAACGACGCGCTAGCCTTCGCATCTTGCTGCCACTGGTCGACTGTGTACTCAATCGGGCGGTGGTACCCGTTCCAGTGGGCTGTGAACCAAGCCACAGATCAAAGCGGATTGGGGGGAACGATGTACTTTAACGACAATGCCCGCGCCGACACGCTCTGGTGTTGCCTCGCAGCCTCCCACGCTCTCGCCACCTGCCTCCATGTCCGCATCCATCTGTTTGTGGTGGTGGTGATCTTTGTCGTGTGCGACTATTTCCGCCTCGAGATTGTAAACTACACGGGAATGTACCTTGACCATGTGAATGCATTTGCCACGTCAAACTACCTCGACAATATCATTGCTCAACCAACTAAAGTCACCATGAACGTATGGGCGTTTCACGAAAACGTGACCACCGATTACAAGTTGATTCTGAACGAATACACGTATCTATGGGTCGCCGCGGGCTTGTGCCAGGTCTACGTCGTTCTCGAGAAAGTTGCTCGCACGTTAGCAGCCAGTCAATATCTCCCCCATCCCCACCGTCGTCGTTATTCGCTGAAGTGACTGAATGTTGTCCAACCATCCTCCGGATCCCCGGTGAATATGCTGCGCAAAAGGACTGACAACGACCACTGGACGCAAAGGTTGACATTATACAGCGATAATCTCGATGCCGACGACAACATGGTAGTTGAGCGACGGGTGGGCCGAATCAGCTGCGATGTGGTGGGGTTTGTAGCTCCAACAGACGACTACGGCCAGCAGACTCTTGTGGCCATCAACGACTACGCGTATATTGTCGTGAACGCAGTGATTGGTACGCTGTGGTTTACCGTGTGCGGTTTCCCCATCGATGACATGATGATCTTGGGGAAAGTTCAATTGCATCCGCACCATATTCACCGCATTTGGCGTGTGTCGCTGAAATGTTTGCACTGACTTGCGTTGTGATGTGACAAGCGATCAATCCTGTGACCACTGGACATAGATACGGTGCAGGAATTATGCCCCCGTCTACTGCGTGGATCTACTGTATGTAGTCTTGACCATCTTCTTTGTAACACAACCGTCGGGGGGATTGATGATGGTTTAAGCCTCTACCTTCTCCATGACCTCGTGCGATATCGTCAAGACAAGTTTGACCACCCACAAAGCTGGCGGAATGCTCGCTTCAGAGGATGTCAGTGACTGACGTGACAGGACCTTGTCTAGTAAACTCTTCGTACTCGACCCCTACCCACAGCGTCTTGATCGTGGAGAGTTCAATCTTTGAGCCACTCGGTACTTGCCGATCCAAGAACCTCCACATACAGTCTTGGGGGGGCCACGATGCTCCGCGAACATGCTGGCTATCAACGCACTGACGCCACCGATAGCATGGCTGCAGTATGTTTGTTTGAGTTGTATTTTCGAAACGGTTAACGAATTGAAACAGTTTGAAACACTGCGTGTGAAACAACCAGCCCTCGAAGTTGACAAGGTCACGGAGACGGTGGAAGCTACTGGTAGTTATCTGATGGCATATCTTAACGACACGCTTCAGGGAGTATCGTTTTGTTTGCCCAGTGGCAACCAGAATGCACGGCTCAGGAACACACATAAACTGTACTAGTACCTAAATAGAAATAGGTCTTTCGCAATGCATGGGATAACTGGCAACTGGCACCACTAAACCCATGTCAAGATATTGAAGTCCAAAATCTCCTCCCGAGTTGTAGTCACCACGTATTCCTACCTTCTCAAGGTGCGGTGCCCTTTTTTAAAACGCATGATCCCATGTGTATGTCTACATGTACTCCTACGAGCAAGATCGGATCAGGTCAAGATGGCGTTACAAGCAGGCTCAGAATAGCCTGCTTCGTGGCCGTCTGTTTCATTCCCTCCGGGTCATCACCGCCACCATCACCACCTTAGTTAGCACCATGCCGTCTCTCCGCCGCCGTGTGCGGAAGCTCATGTTTTTAGCGAGTCGGGCCCTGGCCTGTGTCGCAGCTGGCATCGTCTTCTTCTGCGAGTACACAGGCTCCGACTCGAACAAGCGGCTGCTCGTGGGGGTGTCAACGCCCCCGACCAAGACAATCTCGTACACGAGTCCCCTTGTAACCCAGTTGTTCCTGCCCATCCTCGTGTCGACCCCCGGGCTCGTCCGGACAGCATTCGAAACGCTGGACGCTAATAAACCGCAGAACCAGTCGTTTGTCGGGTACCTAGACAAGGCTACCACCGTCACCTCGTCCTCCTCGTTGTGGTCGGCCGTGTTTCACTCTGTCACAGTGACCACCACCAGCTGCAACTCCCCGTCAGGCATCGACTACTTGTACAAGCCGTCGTATCTGCACGACGTCCTCAAGTACGCATTGGCCGCGTACCCGTCGTGGAACCTCACGAATCACTGGGTCGTGCTCGACTGTGGGTATGAGGGCCGCAAATTTGAAGACACGACTGTGCTGATGCTCTACCTGGTGGACCGCCAAGTGCAAACATTTTCCACGTTCATGCTGCAGGTGCTGAGCATCCACCGGCCGGCCAAGCAGCGTCGGACTTCGGGCGGCGTCGCTATGTTTACAACGATGGCGCTGGCCTCCATGACGGTCGATGGCGTCACCGTCAAGTCCTCGCAGCCTGCCACGTACGAGACGGCGATGGGGTTTTTGTTTCCGTACGAGTGGGAGGCGTTTGAGCCTATCGCCCTCGACTCGCTCGTGCCCCCCGACGGGCAATGGCACGCCCGGATCATCGCGACCAACGAAGCGTTTGTGTTTTCTGGCACCACGGGCATCTACCGGCGGGCGCCCGACATCCAAGCGAGTTTCAACTACTTTTACTGGGACCTTCCGTCCGACCCGATTACGTTTGCGTCGACGATCCAGTTTCAAGGCGTCAAAGTGTTCAAAGACACGTGGGGGTGGTTTCGATGCTTCCTCGGCGTTGGCATCGGGTTCAACATTGCCATCAACACGGGCGTGGCGTTCCTGGTCATGTACAACATGTACATGTTCACAGGCGTGTTCTGGGTGCCCGACATCTACCCGTCGATTCAGTCGCGGGCGTCGATTCGAGCGTTGTTGTTGCTTCTCGATTGTATCATGAACGGATGGTGGTACCCCCACCAGTGGGCAGTGAACCAGGGCAGTGTGCGCAACAAGTGGGGCGGCACGCTAGACTTCAACGAAATCTCCCGGGCGGACGGGCTCATGGTGGTGCTGGCCACGACGTTTGTGGCCGCGAATGCGCTCCGCGTCCGCGTCCAGCTGGTCACCGTCGTGATGATCTACGCGCTGTGCTACTACCTCCGCCAAGACTTGATCAAAGCGATGGGGCTCTGTGCCGCACGGGTCACACCGTTCATCAAGCAAAACTACTTTGAAAACATCTTGCCCACGGGGCATGGCGCGATGGATTTGTGGGCGTACCATGAGAACGACAACACCAACTTTTGGCTTATTGCCAACGAATGTACGTACTTGATCGTGGCGATTGGAGCCAGTATCTTGTACGTGGTGCTGTTCAAACTATGGGACACCCGGCACAAGCCAATGGCGCGCCAAGTCCTGTCGACGATTCGGCACTTGAAATGGCATCATGTGAAACCGTTGGTCATGTACCTCGTGCATGTTGGCCGATCGCGCCTGAACGCCCGACATGGCAACTGCCAAATCGGCGTCGCGCGGGAGCTGTCGCCCCAAATCCACTGGACCAAGCGTTCGACGTTGTACATGGAGCTGAACGCTGCCGACACGGAGAACGCCAACGTCGAGCGCTGTGCCGGCAGCATCGTCGGCAACATCTATGGGTTCGTCGCGTTCACAAAGGACTATGTGTACGATGGCGGGCAGATCTTTGTGTCTGCGTCCGGAGTGTGGCTGCTCGGGTTTGTGATCATCAACGACCAGTATGTTGTGGGCATCAACCACTACATCAAGGTCGCGCTCAACGCTTTGTTTCGCCAAACGTACTTTAAAGTGTACGGGTTCGCCCTCCTCGAGGACGTCGTGAACACGCGCAAGACGCGCCTCTTAGCCGCTGACATTCCCGTCCGCCACGTGTGGCGGGTCTCCCTCAAGCGATTGAGATAACTAATGACACTACATAGTATGTCATGCAAGATGATTGTGTGTGTTTTTTATACAGAAACCAACCACGCGTATGTATGTATGTATGTATGTACGTAAATAGACTCTGACATCGACATCATGAAACGTTACTCTATATTCTCGACACTTTTATTCCAGGGTCGCAGAAAAATGTAAATACAACTTGTCGACAGAGGGTCGGGTACCGGTACGTACCAGGTCCATGAAGTACCAGGTCCGGGCAAATGCACCTTCTCCAAAGGGAATATCATTGGACATTTGAAGGTTGTGCCGCCCACGTTCAACATCACGATATTAAGATAGTTGCGGAGATTTGCTTGAAAGGCTTGGTCCACCGCCAACTCCACTGTAGCTGGTTGTGAACGCTGAGCAAATAGCAAGGGTGGTGGTACTGTACCCTCCTTCCCCATCTGGACATGAAAAGTGAAAGTTAGTTTAACGTTACTGTGAATTCGACCGACAAAGACTGCCAGCTTGTCCGGTCATGGATCAACATCTCTCAAGATGCGTCCAAGGGTAGTACTCATCACGCATCACAAAACTGTCCATGATTCGTTCGAACAGCGGTCTGGCCATTCAAAAACGACGGCGAAACTTGGCTTCGCCGTTGATTGGATTGGGGTCAAAGTAGTAGGTAAATCCGAGCATGCGCAGCCTCGCTATCTCGTGGTAGGTTTGGCTGGCGGTTGACAATAGAGCCTTTAGGGCGCGCAGAAGACTGATGAAAGCCAAGAATCTCCCAAGCTTGATCCATGTCATCATCGTCGTCCTCCCACGTTCATTTCCGGATAAAAACATTAATTCTCGACACTTTTATTCCAGGGTCGCAGAAAAATGTAAATACAACTTGTCGACAGAGGGTCGGGTACCGGTACGTACCAGGTCCATGAAGTACCAGGTCCGGGCAAATGCACCTTCTCCAAAGGGAATATCATTGGACATTTGAAGGTTGTGCCGCCCACGTTCAACATCACGATATTAAGATAGTTGCGGAGATTTGCTTGAAAGGCTTGGTCCACCGCCAACTCCACTGTAGCTGGTTGTGAACGCTGAGCAAATAGCAAGGGTGGTGGTACTGTACCCTCCTTCCCCATCTGGACATGAAAAGTGAAAGTTAGTTTAACGTTACTGTGAATTCGACCGACAAAGACTGCCAGCTTGTCCGGTCATGGATCAACATCTCTCAAGATGCGTCCAAGGGTAGTACTCATCACGCATCACAAAACTGTCCATGATTCGTTCGAACAGCGGTCTGGCCATTCAAAAACGACGGCGAAACTTGGCTTCGCCGTTGATTGGATTGGGGTCAAAGCGTCAAAGATCGCGTGGGATGGTGGCGGCACTGCTGTGTCGTGGCGGATGGGCACGTGGAATTGCGACCGTTGGACGGCGGCGTAGTGCCCGTCGCCGTCGAAATCAAACGATAGGTCGTCGAACGAGTGGCCAGAAGACGAAGGAAACTCATGGGTTTGAAACATCGCGGCCAAGTGATGCAACTTGCGCTGCGTGATCCACCGCTGGCCCAGCAGTCGCGTCGAGGGGTCGCCGCTCAGGGTCACGTCGTGCCAGGTCGACACGGACGCACTCAACGATATATTACATCACCCCATTGTTACTGGTACCGGCACAAAATGCCGCTTCAATCAACCTGCGGCGGTGCGTTGAGCGTCGTCCACGCCTGCAAATGCTGCAACAGCGTCGTGTTTTTGATCGCCAAAGATCGCAGCATGGCCAGCTTGGACATATCAGCATCGTGTGCATATCGCAGCGCCGTGGCAATCTCCTTCCAACGGCGCCGTACGATGAAGTTGCAACGCCTGCACTTGCTCTTCCAAGGCCGCGCATTACCCCAGCAAAGCATTCTTTTCCTCGTGCCTGCCCCTCGTGTACTATCCCGCTTGTACCTCCGTCGCTTGAGCTTCTTGTCCGCATGCTCAAGTGCCACGACGTCCAACTCGAGGTCCGTCGGAGCTTGACTCTGTATCACCGATGTTTTACAAGTGAACGTCGAAATATCTACAGTGTTCCGGTTGATATAAAATATACTGTACTAACGTCGATGGCCAGTTTATTGTGCACTTGAAAGAGACTTCGTCGTAGAATGCAGCTTACTCGTCTCCCAGGACCGAGATTTCAATTCTGAAAAGGGCTGCATGAAGCCAAAAGGTTGGGCATTCTTCCGATTATTTAATTGGCTTAAATGGACTTCAGCTTACGTTCATTTACTTCGATTTCCACTCATGTCAAGGCAAAATCGGAGGGACGGTGTATGGTGCACGGTTTAAGCTTGAAATATGTATGCTGTTTTTGCTTATTTTTTAGTGATTTCATTTTTCTAGTGATTCGATTGGCTACTCCAAAATTCAAGCAATTCCATTGGCCAATTTGAGTTCGCCTTAAACTGTCCCGTGCACCACGGTAGATCTTAAATTTTTACTATTAATATTAGTACTATACTCCTACTACGTATTTTAATACGTAGTAGTACAAATATAGTAATACAATTAAGGAAAAGTTCAACATCCATTCCAAATACAGTGTGAGCTTGCCGGTAGTAAGCTATTAATAGTAGTAACCTAGGTAGTAATCTAGAAGTACTAGTAGTACTACTACTATGGCTAACATATGAGTGAAATAGATACATCTCTATACAGAACATCACATTACACTCCAATATCGACAAGATCAACACTATCGATAGTACTACTATTTATACTAGTACTAACTTCGAACGTCAGCACCATCGTGAAATGGTCACGTTTTCGACCAAAATGGTGACCACGACTGCTGCGACGGTACTCCTATTGACTTTGCTTGCAGGTCTTGGTCGCCGTATGCCGCGATAGGGACGAAAGAGTAGAAAGTAGTAGAGGTTCACAAGTGAGTTATCAAGGGTTAAGCTAGCTAGGAGTCTGGCAACCAGTGATTCGATAGCCCCAGCTGGGTAACCTAATATGCAGTCCTGTATGCAATGTATCTAGAGTGTACTTTCTGATGTTGGGACTTGATTGGGCGTTGAGCGTCGTGCGGTCGTAACGTCTCGTCCTGATGCGCCTTTTGTAATACTCTTACGGGCAGAAACCAGCGGTAAGCCAGCGTTATCGATCATGCCGGCGTGTCGACGCTCTTGCTCTTGTCCATGCCGTACTTGATGGCCATTCGCTTGATGTATGTTCTCTGGGTGACGTACATGGACTTGTTGTTTTCGTCGCGGTCGATCTCCATCCCGAACAGCTTGGAGATGGGGCCGAGGCGGATGCGCTGCTGCAGGTGCTCGAACACGTCTGTGACCTCGTCGTCGTTGCTAGCACATACTAACACGTCGTCCACGTAGATGGTCACGATCTGTAGACGGCCATCCGCTCGACGTTGCGGCATTGTCGAGGGCTTCCAGGATAGCCTTGAAGTGCTGGTACCAGAGCAGTGTGCTCTGTTTCAGATCATAGAGCGCGCCGAGTATGCGCCAGGCCATGCCTCTCGCTTCGAACCCATCTGGCGGCGCCATGTACAGTTTGAGGTCGCTCTTGGCGTGGATGTAGGCTTTCGTGGTGTCAACTTGGCGTACCTTGGCGGCACTTCATGCCGGAGGCAGTGACGATAGCTAGGACGAGTCGTAGAGAGTCGCCTCGGATGACGGGCGCATAAGTTTCATTATAATCGATGCCTTGCCTCTGTGCAAAGCCCTTTATTACAACGCGCGCCTTAAAGATCTGAGTGCCATCTGACATGTCCTTTCTCTTAAACATCCACTTCGACACTTCAATGTACGCGTGCCATCTGGAACTCGGGAGAGTTCGTAGCATTGCATGGCTTCGAGATTGCCTGTCTTCTTCGTGCACGCTTCAAGCCAGCCAGTGGTGTCAGCCGACTGCATAGCTTCGTGGAACGTCGCAGGCACGTCCTCGTCGACGTCTGTAGCATTGAAGCACACATCGTAAGGTGCGTTGGCTGGGTGCTTTGGCTGCGTCGGACGAGTCGTCCCGGTCGATGGGGTGCTGCCACGGTACCTTGGTCGCCACACCGCGTGTGCCTTCCGGCCGCATGCTCTTGTGCGGTGTTTGTCCGCGGTCGCTCGCCTTTCGCTCTGGCTATGCGCTTGTGGCGCTTGCGCGGATCTTGTTCCTCGACGCCGATCGCGGTGACCCGTGCTTCTTGTCTAGCGGCGTCCAGGCCGTCTATGACCGTTTGCTTCGTGCGGCCTGGTGACGTCGATTGCTTCTTGGTCGACGGTCGGTGCGATCAGTCCCACCGTGATTTCCGCGTTTCTTCTTCCTGGATTGGCGCAGCCGCAACCGTTGACGTGGCGTCGGCTGCGGTGATTCTGCGACTGTTGCGTGTATCAGGTCTCGTGATTTGGGGCGGGTAGTGCGCGAAGGGTTGCCCATCAGGCGGGCCGGGCTGGTCTTGCGGCTTGACGGGCTCTTGCCGCACTCCGAGGTCGTGCCGCTGGCCGAGCACTGCAGCAGTGGTGGTGCTTTTTGGTGGCTGGATCCATGTTGACGTCTTTGTGGCCTGTGTCGTGGCGCCACATCTGTCGTCGTGCTGGCCTTGTAGGCCTTCTTAACTTCGCTGTAGCCGAGGAAGATGCATAGGATGGCCCTCGACGCTGTCTTGTCTCGTTGCGGCGCCAGGCAACATAGCCGAAGACCTTGAGTGACGTGATCTTGGGCTTGGTCCCGCGAATCAGCTCGCGTCACGCCGGCCGTTTTAGCGTTTGGTGTCCGGTTTCTCAGGAAGGCTGTCGTGTCTACGGCTTCGGCCCACCAGTGCTTGGCCAAGTTGGCGTGTGTTGGGTGTGGAGTATCTTAGCAAGCGACAGGTAGTATTCTTGCAAGCGCACTCCATTCCCATTGGTCAAGGATCTGTCAACACGACCGAAGAGAGCTCGATAGGGGATGCAAATGTGCGTTGTGAATCAGTAGATCTAAGACCTTTAACATAGTCAGTCTTCTTTTACCTTTGAACCCGGTGCATCGAGTTCTAAAGGAGTCACTGCCAGTTCAGGACCGGCAGACACAACAATAAATTTATTAGTCTCGTTTGACTAAAGGAACTCACGCTTGCAAGCACCATGGAGCCCGAGCTCGCCACCCCGCGTGCCTTGGTACCCCCGACGACATACGACCCACAACAAGGATCGTTGTCTGACCGCACCCTCGACGATGGCTTCTACACCGCGTCGGCGGCA